TATATATTTGATATATATATCAAAATTTAAGAGGTAAAAAGTTGACAGCATGGATAAAATGAGCATCCACTTTGACCCAGTGATTTTACTTCTAGGAATTTATCCTAAGGAAATAATGCCAAAATTGCCAAAATATATGTGTGCAAATGTCTCCACTGTAGCATTTTTGTAATAGACATAGATTAAGAAGAGGTTAAATATCAATCAGTAATATATTGGTTACATTTTTGGTAAATCCACACTACAGAATGGTATTTTATCTGGTGAAACAATTTACATCATATATTAGGTGACAAAAATATTTTGCAGAATGGTATGCATAGTATGATCCCAAATTATTTGAAAAAGATATATGTAGATTTGATTAATAAGATGTAGTACGTATAATATAATGGAATATTACTCAGTCATAATAAAGAATTAAATCTTAACCATTCGTGACAACATGGATAAACCTAGAAGGTATTTTGCTGAGTGGAGTAAGTCAGACAGAGAAAGACAAATGCCATATGATTTTACTTACATGTGGAATCTAAAGAACAAAACAAAACAGAAACAGACTCCTAGATACAGAGAAAAACTGATGGTCTCCAGAAAGGAGGGGGCTTGACAGGCTGGGTGAAAGAGGTGAAGGGATTAGGAAGTAAAATTGGTAGTTACAAAATAGTCATGAGGATGTAAAGTACAACATTGGGAATATAGTTAATAATACTGTAATAACTATGTATGGTGCCAGGGGGTACTAGACTTATCAAGGGGATCACTTTGTAAATTATAAAAATGTCTAACCACTATATTGTACACCTTTAATATAATATTGAATGTCAACTGTAATTGAAAGATAAAAAAAAAAATTAAAGATGCCATATTAACTGCTCGATCTGTCCAAGAGTTTCATACTCTTACAGAACCCTCCTACACACACATGTAATAAATTTAGTCATAGTCTCCTATTAATCTGTCTCATGTTAATTTAGTTATTAAGTCATCCAGAACTTAAAATGGTAGGAGGAAAATTAATTTTCCTCCCCCACAGTGTTAACTTAGGGTGTTTCAGAGTGGGTATTATTGGCCATGTTTTCTTTTTATGCTTTTCTGCATTAAAGAACCCTAATAAATATAATAAACCAGTTAATGAAGTAAAAAAAAAAGATATATGTGTACACACACTCACATATAATATATTTACATTGTTTTTCCTTGTATATATAAAACAACAAAACCTGGAAAGAGTTATTTGAAAAGTTAGCAGTGAATTTCGTGATATATATTCTAGGATTGAGGTAGATGGGTTATCACAGTGGTTATCAGAAGAGTGGAGAATTTGAGACATTTTTATTTTCTGCTCCCTTCTTTTCCTGGTTGACAACTGCTTTCCTTTATCTCAGCTCAAAATTTCACTCCCTCTCCCCGGTCAAGGAAGCCTTCTCTGATCCCCAGACTCTGCCACTTCTTTTACTATATTAACAGTGTTCCTTTCCTTCACAGTATTTTTCTCCGTTTGTATGTATGTGTGATTATTTCATTAAGGTCTTGTTTCCACTATGAGAGCAGAGTCAGTCAGTGTCTATTTTTACTCACCAACGTATTCACAATAAGCATAGTACTTATAGCAACCTTCCTTCGTCTCTTCCCCCTCTTAACATTATGATGTGGACAACTGAATCTTTCGCAGTCTTACATAAAAGGTTATGAAAGTGCAGCTTTTAGACAAGTCCCCCAATCACACAAATGCAGATTAATATATCAGAAACAAACACCCTACATCACACTAACTGGTGAAATATTAAGAATGTTCCCATTTACTTCAAGAACAAGATCAGGAGGCCCTCAATCATCACGATTTTTCAACATAGTTCTGGAGGTCAGTGCAGAACATCCAGAAAGTGAAAGAATAGAATACACAAATATTGGGAAAAAAGAAATAAAAATAATCATTCGCAGATGATTATGTATGCATACTTAGGAAAATCAAAGGTATCAACCGAAAAAAATATTAGAAAAATTAAGAAAGGTCACTAAAATATCATAAATATTTTTCCTTAAACAAGCAATAACCTGGTAGAAAATACAATCATAAAATAAATGTCATCCTCCAAAGCAACAAAACAACAAAATATCTAGGAATAAACTTAATGAGTAATTGCTATGACCTACCTGGAGAAACGAAATTTATTGAAGATCATAAATGTCGACACAGACAGAAAGACTCATATTTTAAAGAGGTCAGTTCTTAAGTTAAAGTGCATTTTATGTTACTAAATGTTAACTATTTTGTTCTGTAAATTGTTCAATTTGGAACTTGACACATATGCATACATATACTTTTTTGTATTTGCATGAAAAGAAGTAGAAATTGTTAAAAGTGGTTGGTGGTTGAACAAGAATTTCAGAGCACTTTCATGTTCTACTTTATACATTTCTGCACATTTAAAAAAATAAGGAGTGTGTATAACAAAGGGACGGAGAGAGAGAGAGTTTCCTATTGAGAGGATATATCTGTTTTTTCCCCTTAGGCTAGTAGTTCTTGGTTATTTTTTTTAAGTCATAGATGCCTATGAGAATCTGATGAGAGCTACGACCCTTCTACCCACTAAAATGAACATATGTACATCCATAACTTTGACACAATTTCAGGTAGACCGCAGAGGTGGCTGAGAATGCCTACTCTAGGTTAATCAAATATGGTTAGGGTGAGAGTTCCCTGGGCCCGGGCATCCCCAGGACTGAGTTGAGGGGGTACCAAAGTGGTTGTGGGCTGCAGGCCACAACCCTGCAACAAGGCCAGCTTCTCCCTAGGTGTCCTGAGGTAAGGAAGTCAGAGGTGAGAAGATGCTGCACCTCTCAGGCCAGGTAGTAGCACCAGACAGTGTTAGGAGCAATGTTATCTGAGGCACAGTGCATGAGGGCAGAGCAGGCAAACCTGGGTGCTTCCCCCAGCAATCATTTCTCCAGGCTTCATGGAAACCCACAGCTGCAATCCTTTCTATGCATACTTGAGTTAACTCTGTGGGAATTTCAGGGAGGGAGGGAGGAAAGAAGCAAAATACATTTACTTAGATTGGTCACCTGAATAAAGGTGGCACTTACCACCTTGGTCACTCGTCCATGTATACCTTTGCAGTGAGCAACAGTCAGGTGCCTGACTGCAGGGGATGAGAAGCTCTGTGATATGAGAGAGGTGGGAGAGCAGCACCTTCCTCCTTCCTCTCTTGATAAGACAGAGAGGATGAGATCACTTCTGAATTCCTCACACCCTAAGCTGCCTCCACCTTAGTAGACCTGAATCTAATTCAGAGGTAGGTATTCAGAACAGCCATCAAATAACAAGAGATTCACATAGCAGTCAACCAGGACTTTGGGACCATAAAAATATGTTGTTGTTGTTGTTGTTGTTTTTAAATCAAACAAGACAGGATTGTGTTGTTTTTGTTTTATCAAGTTGCAAATTGATCCAAAAATATAAAAAGTAATAGAAATTATAATGAAAATAGAAAAGTAATTGCATAAAATAGCCAAGATTAGACGGCTAGTAATCTTTGTCTACTAATTCATAAATCATGTGAAAATTTCAGTTATGAATATTAAAACATGTTAGTATGTTTTGAAAGTTGTTATTTGGCTATAACCAGTAGAAAAATTTTCCTGACTTTAGAAATAAGTATAATGAAATTAATGAGACTTTGGAGTTTTCTCCCCCACTTAAATTCTTTTTTACTCAAATGAAAATAACATCATTCTATTTTCTCAATATAAAAGTAATGCACTACTGATTTCAAAAAAAAATGAACAAAAAAGTTTAAGTAGGACACTCTCACTACCTGTATCTTTTTTAAGATATTTTCTCCCATTTCGAATAGGGGTACAGGGGAAATGCTGGACTTCCATGGCTAGGGTGGTGGTGGTGAAGGAAGAGAGGTTGGACAGGGATAAGGAGAAAAACTATTCCTTAAACAAGAAGAAAAGACCAATAGACATAGGAGCACATGTAGTTTTTTCCTGTTAATTAAAGAAAGGCAAATTCCAACCACGAGAAGCTAGCCCAGATTTCTGGGACTGGCAGAGGAAAATGAGTGGCAGGACCTGATGTGGCAGGGAAGGAAAGGGGTGTGACAGCTCCAATCCATTGCCGGTGGGAGTGGTAATTGGGGTCCTGAGCTCATGGGTGACGTGGCCCTCACGTGAGCAGAAGCCTACGTGTACAGTCGCCTTTCTAATCCTGGTCTTGGTTTGGTCCGATTGTCATCTGCCTATTGCCCCAAAGGCGGGCGGGCCTGTGGCCAGGGAATGAGAAGGAGGGAACTGCCGGAATCCCAACAGGTCAGTGTGTGGATGGGCACTGCCTGAGGGATCCCTGCGGTGCGGGTAGCGGAGGGTGGAGACGGAAGAGGGACAAGGCCTGCTTTCTCCACACCCTTGCACTATCCCCTGCCCTTCCAAGTACGAAAATGGTGGACATTGGGGGCTGTATTCCAGGGGAAACTCCAGACCAGGAGAGAAGAAACCTTTGGTATCCAGAGCCTTGAATTGGAAAGGGCAGTTTATTAGGATTCCTGTCCTGTGTGCTGGTCCATCTACCAAGCCATAATGTTGGGGCTGTGCGTCTGTCTGACCATCTGTTATTCCGCATGTCTTTCAATAAGGCGCTGTACCACTAGGAGCAAAGGAATAAAGACTCTGCTCAGAATCCCTGCATGTCAGTGTAAAGGGGGGATTGCTCCACGGCCCTCAGAAGGGCGAGATCCTTGCCTTAACTTGAGCCCATTAATGACTCTCCAGCTATCTCCCTGATATTTTACGTAGGGAAAAGGATGTGACAGCGCCTACAGGAAAAATGGTTGTCATTGGGGATGGGACTGCGCGGCGGAGAGAGATCGAAGAGATCTTTTGGTCTTTCCTCCGGTTTTCCATACTCCCTCGCCCCGCCTCCACTTTTTCCAGTAGTCTCAAAGGGGCGTGGTTTTTGCTGGGAAAATGGCTGACCGCTGGGAGTCGGGAGTAGGGGCTGGGGGAGGGGGTCGGTGAACGCAAGTGTTGGAAGAGGGATAGTGTCCGCGGAGTCCTGAGAAGTGGGGCTAGGGTGAGAGACCAGAAGGTAAAATCCGTTTCACCACCAGGACCTTGAATTCGGAAAAGCCGGTATTGGGACTCTCTGAAGTGCTGTTCTGTCTGTCCAGCCATCCGCCTCTGCGGAGTCGCAGATCTGTGTCTGTGGATCTTGCGCCTGAAGGCTAAACCGACCGGAGTGCACTAAGAAGAGGAATATTATCTAGAAACAAGTAGGTCAGAGTGAGGGTGCTGGCACTATTTGGAGACCCCTGGGGTGGAGAATGGTGGAGACTGCGAATTCGAGTTGGCCTGTGGACCTCCTCCGCGTCCCTCTCCTTCCCTCCTCTCTACACCATTTCAGAGCTTGGAAAAGAAAGTTCTCCGCAGGTACAAGACAGAGAAAGAAGTGGCTGGGAGGGGGAGGGTGTCATGAGAGTCCTGGGTCGGGGTAGGGAGGTCCTTGCTCCAAATTACTCTTTGGGTTACAGTGTCGTTGGTATTGTTCCATCCATCGAGCATTCTGTCCTGCAATTGTCAGTCCTTAGGTTTGGTGGAGGCAGAAATGGAGATGTGGGAGGAAGGAAATTCCTCCGGAGCACTGGAAGTTGGGTGGAGAAATGTAAAAAAGTAAAATGGGTGGAGAAATGTCCTGGTACCTCTGAAGTTGTGGGGATGGCGGAGGCAAAGGTGACGTTCCAGACCTTTGTGCATTTTACGCCTGTCTGGCTTCTAGACACTCGATCTACTACCACTGATTTTGTTGTAGAGAAGTGGGTGTGGCGTCACCTCCGAGGAAGTGATTTTCGGGAGTGTGGTGGAAGATTGGAGGAGATGGAAGGAGGAGGGAGAGAGGTAAAATGAATTTCAAAGATGAAGCACTGCGGAGAAGAGTATAAGAAGATGGAAAAAATTGGGCTATGCCGGACTAGGGCCGGGGATTCAGGAGAGAGACATGTGTCCAGTTCCCAGTGAGATTCTCCCCACCTCTTTTGTATGCAGTTTTGCAGGACACAGTGCTTTTCCAGGCAAGAAAAAAAAAGAAACTGCCTGGATCTGTGTGGGTGTATGTGGAGGTGTCACTGCCCCCAGGACATCTGGAGGGACAGGAGAAGTAGGAAACTGATTAGATAGCTTAAACTGGGATAAGGTGGTTGAACATGAGGTTGGAGAATCTGGAGGTGGGGAAATTTTTCAAAATTACCTTCCCTGTGGAGGAAAGGAATCAGTGATCTACCCCTGAGTCCCTGTCATGTCCCTGTTGGTTTGTGGGTCTGTAGTTTAGTTTGTCTGCATACAAAGGCACAAAAGTAGACTGAAGCCTTAAATCTTTCCTTCTTTCCTAGGTCCCACTGTATCTGCAGCTGTCACAGAGCCTGCCAGCCATAGCTAAAGACTCCACCCTTGTGGGATCACTCTTCTGGGCCAGAGGAAGCCCTCTCTGCCTGGGTTAAGAATTCAGCTCAGATATTCTTCAGAGTATGGGTCGTACTCGGGAAGCTGGCTGTGTGGCCGCTGGTGTGGTGATCGGGGCTGGTGCTTGCTACTGTGTATACAGACTGGCTTGGAGAAGGGATGAGAGCGAGAAAATCTGGGATGAGGATGATGAGGACGATGAGGAAGAATCTAGTGATATTGCAGAGACTGGGGTTCAGACTGGGAAAGGAGCTAATGCTGGGGTAGGGGCTGCTGCTAGACTTCAGGGTGACTCAAAGGCCAGGACTGAGGTGGCTGTGGAACTCAAGAGTGGTCCAGATGTAAAGGTGGAGGCCCACTCATGGGCCCAGAGTGGAGGTGGCCTAGAAGCCAAGGCCAAGGCTCTTTTCAGCACTCTGAAGGAACAGGCAAGCACAAAGGCGGGCAAAGGGGCCAGGCTGGGTACCATCTCTGGGACCAGGACCCTTGCACCGAGTTTACCCTGCCCAGGAGGCAGAGGTGGAGGCTGCCACCCCACCAGGAGTGGAGCTAGGGCTGGGAGCAGGGCAAGTAGAAAGTCCAAAGGAAGAACCCGAGCTAAGAGCACCAGGACTCCAGCTACAGCATGGCCTGTTCGCAGGGGCAAGTTTAACTTTCCCTATAAAATTGATGATATTCTAGGTGCTACAGACCTTCAAAAGGTCCTTAACATCCTGGAAAGAACAAATGATCCTTTTATACAAGAAGTAGCCTTGGTCACTCTGGGTAACAATGCAGCATATTCATTTAACCAAAATGCCATTCGTGAATTGGGTGGTCTCCCAATTATTGCAAAACTGATAAAAACAAAAGATCCCATTATTAGGGAAAAGGCTTACAATGCCCTTAATAACTTGAGTGTAAATGCTGAAAATCAGGGCAAGATTAAAACATATATCAGTCAAGTGTGTGATGATACCATGATCTGTCGCTTGGATTCAGCTGTGCAGATGGCTGGACTAAGACTGTTAACCAACATGACTGTGACTAATCATTACCAACATTTGCTTTCCTATTCTTTTCCAGACTTTTTTGCTTTGTTATTCCTGGGAAATTACTTCACCAAGATTCAGATTATGAAACTAATTATAAACTTTACTGAAAATCCTGCCATGACAAGAGAGTTGGTCAGTTGTAAAGTACCATCAGAATTGATTTCCCTCTTTAATAAAGAATGGGACAGAGAGATTCTTCTTAATATCCTAACCCTATTTGAGAATATAAATGACAACATAAAAAATGAAGGGCTTGCATCATCCAGGAAAGAATTCAGCAGAAGTTCACTTTTTTTCTTATTCAAAGAATCTGGAGTGTGTGTTAAGAAAATCAAAGCATTAGCAAATCACAATGATCTGGTGGTGAAAGTAAAAGTCCTAAAAGTATTGACTAAACTCTAATTGGGGGTCCCAAACAATACTGAAGTATTTTTTTAGTTTGCCCTTGGGAACGATGCATTTTGTAAATTGTTTTTCACTGTGCTTATATGGCAAAGAAATACTTTAAGCTGCTATTTTGGAATAATGAATATCACAAATCATCAACAGTAATGCTGGTTATGATGGATAGTTTTAAGCTGGACCATTTTAAGGATGTCAGATGAATACTAGAGCTTGTACAATGAAAGCACTTATTGATTCCATCCTGCTACTTAGATTGAGATGATTTTACTCTTTACCTAAACTGACAGTAAACTAATCATGAATAAGTTACACTTTTGTATTGGTTTACAATTGTTAATCTTAGATTTGTGTTTTATCAATAAAGTTGTTTGTTTTAACTAGCAAACAAAAAGAAATTTATCATGTTCTTGAGTTTATGATCTATTTGAAAAAGTAAGATGTATGGAAACAAAAAGATACTAACAATACCAGGAGCCTCTGATCATGGCCAGACCCTTCCCATCAGGAGAAGAGCTTCTGCAAATGACAATGTTCAGAGAAAGTTTTACAGAGGAGGGACACTCAAATAAGCTGAGTTTGAAGGATGGGAAAAACAAAAACAAGACAGAGGGCATAGGAGGAAGAAAGAGTGGTGGGAAGAAAGGCATGGAAGTGAGAATCCTGCTCCAGAGAGGAGGTCGACCTGCCTAGAGTGCAAAGTGTAAGAAGGAGAGTGATGGAAAATATAGTCCAGCAGTTGGGGTGAGTCCCATTCCTGGAGAGGATCCCTGATTGCTAAACTGAGGTTTCTGCATATTACTCCATCCACCCCTGGAAGACACCAAAGCCTGTCATGACCACAGGAATGACGGGATGAAAGGAAAACGATGTGGTCAATTTGTGTGCAGGATGGGTCAGAGTTGGAGAGGGGACAGGAGTGGCCACTGGAAATTGGAACACCAGTTAGGAAGTTACCACCATAGTCCAGATACGAGATGATGAAAATGTGTGAAATTTCACTGCTGATCATGGGAATGGTAAGGGAAGGAAGAAAAACCCTTTGAATGAAGAAGACTTGGAAAATAT